GATTACAAGTAATTGATTACTGTAATCAAAATTGTAATCATGATTACAGCTGTAATCAAAATTTTTTGAAAGTTGTAATCACGATTACAAGTAATTGATTACTTGTAATCGTGATTACAAGTAATTGATTACATAGCTGTAATTATCTGTAATCAATTACAGTTGTAATCGATTACTGTAATCAACGGCCAACTCTGCTATATACTTAGAAAGACTGAAAAGGCCAGTCCCTTCCCAAATTATTGCTTGTGCGTAGATCAATTAGGAGATCCAAAATCTTAAATTAATAATATTTAATTCAATAGAAACATATTATAGACTTAATCATCGAAAATTTTAACTTGTAATGTTGCTTCAGGTTCTAAACAACAATAAATTTAGTGTAGTCCCTCACGGTCCCTTATAAAACCAAAATTCAAAACAACGTTGTCAGCACATAAAATCACCTGCTCTATGTTCTGGGGTAAACAGGATATTCTGCTTAAGTACTTTACATTGGTGAAATCATCAGTGTTACCCAAATATTGTGAAACATCAAGGAGTGCAATTCAAAACTAAAGGCGTGGAATGCTCAGTCTAGGCATCAAGGTATACACCATGACATGGCACATACCCATTGCGCTTGCGTCATTCAAAATTTTACTCATAAATTCTGTTGTTGACAGAGTCTTGGTGGCTCAGGGGATAGAGGGCTCGCCACCTATGGATATGACCCGAGTTCGAATTCCAGCGAAAGCTGGTTGATACGAATTCTGCACTCAGCTCTCACCGACTGCAGGGTTGAATTAAAACATCCTCAGTGGCAGATGGATCATGTGTTAATCCCTTTGACGTCGAACTAACCGTGGGAGGTTCTCGGGGTTTTCCTCACAATGTAACACAAATGCAAGTCAGTTTCATCAAAACGTCCTCCACGAAGGCAAATTTCGGTACTTGATCCAGGAGTTCCCTCGTCTTCTGGATTGGATTCAAAATTACAAGGATACTGAGTTGAATATTGGTTGCGGTAAACTCAAAATTGGGTTAGCTGTTCAAGGATGGTTATATAATAAAATAATACTGTTAGTAGAAATTCGATCACTCTTCATAGAGCACCGACCTCGCACTTCTGACTACTAATTGTTCTTAAATTTAAAACACTATATTGGATGCGATTAGACAGCGATGACTACGCTAAAAATGGTGTCCATCGATGGTTGTCATTCTTGGCGGTATCTATCTTTGAAGAGGGTGTAAGCAAGTCTGTTTCTCACAAGGAAGAATGCCTAAATATTGATGATAATCATGTGGAAAAATAGTTTCCTGAATGCTCTTAAATTTGTTTCTAATTTTGAATTATAAAATTTTGTCTTGAAAAAATATTATGATGCTTTCTGTGAAACAGTACTTATATCACATCATCGATAATAAATTCATTAAAATCATTGTTGGAAAAGTTAATTGTTCTTTTTTACATAACAGTTGATTAAAATTTATTAAGAATTTATATTTTCGAAAAAAAAAAAGTTTTAGATATGCAGCCTACTAAGTTTAAAACAAATTTCCCGACTTAATTTGAGATGCTAAAGTGACCTTTCTGAGCAAAACACAGTTTGAAATAGTATTATCCAATCAATTTTGTCTGATTGTCTCTTTATTATTTCTAGAAGTTCAGTCCCTCATTTGCAGAACTCAAAAAATGTGAATATTTTTTTCATATTTTTAACACGTTATTTTTATTACTTTCTAACATGTTTTATTTTACATTTAAACCACAAAAACATTTAAATCCATACCCTTCATTTCAAAAATTGCTTTTATGTTCCCAAACTAATGATTTTATTAAAATGAATTGAAAGGAATTCAATCATTAAAAAATGTTAGTATTGCTTGCTAGTACGCTTTTTTTTTTTTTTAAATTTATAATCGTTGTTGAACAACCGACCCAACTTTGAGTTTACGACTATAGATGCCCAAATCCAGAACCTTATAATTTATCCAATCCAAAAAACAAGGAGCTCCTAGATCAAACATTAAGAGAAACTTGCCTTCATGGAGGACTTTTTGATGGAACTAGCCCACATTTGCGATACATGAAGAGGAAAATCACGAAAATCTACCTCGGTTAGCCTGACAGCAAGGAGATTCTAACCAATGATCCGTCTACAACTGACTATATTTTTCTTCAGCACTGTGCGAGTCTAGTAAGGAATTCGTATCCACGACCCAACGGTCAGATTCGAACCCGCGTCACCTCATTGGAAGGCGAGTACTCTATCCTTTAGTCACTTTTCGTTAAATTGAATACCTGTGAATGTTTTTATTTGCTAGTTGTTGGATACACGGAGTAGTACTGAAATGTCGCAATTCAGACAGTTTCTTGCGCACAATATACTTCTTTGAGTAATTTTCATTTGTACGTAGTTGCAAATTCTAATTCATATTGATCAGTGGATAAAAACGGAAGCACATCTATTTTTTCAGCTCTTGGATAAGACTCACACAAATTTTGTATTTGATTTCTCTTCATACATGTCTTTTGCTTAGGAACCCATTTTGAGTTCTTGAGTTCAGGGACTTCACTATAGTCAAACATCAATAGCCAAGATCTGATATCCCTTTCTGCAAATCTTAGATAAGATTCGCATATTAGAAGCCAAATTCTGTTCTTAATTTCGCTTCAAGCACGTCTTTAGTTTGAGAATCCTCCATCTTTCGCTCAACGAATCCTTCTTGCCAAGCATCAGGAAATATTTTAACCGATAAACTTAAATGAATTTTATGCTTAATTTAAGTCCTCATCACAGAGTTTTGCAATATATCCCCCAAACATACAGTTGGGTTGACAAAAACAAGGATTATTGTACAATCTTAATTCTGCCTTGAAACTAAGAAATCCCCCGGATAGAAACAATACATATTGTGACAACATTATGATTGCTTTGAATCCATCTAAAGAATGTGCTAACTTTCTTTAAAATTCACTGGTGTTTACACGAAAATAGAAAATTCCAATTCTTACAGGTTCGTCATAATTATTTGTCTTATGTATGTTATATGTTTTAGAAAACAGCTCATGGCAGTACAATGTATAAAAACCTATGCTGAAAGCTGTTTGCCAGGGAAACAGCAGGAAATATTTAATATTCTTACAAAAGGTGCCGATCAGTTCTTTCATGATTTCTGTAATGAAGAGAGTGAATTAAGAAAAGGTAAGTAAAACTGATAATTTTTTTTGTGAAATTTGCAACTAAATATACATTTTTATATCTAAACACATACGTATATTGTCTATCAACGATTTAAATTAAATTTCATTAAAAGTAATGTATTTGATATTTTGTATTTTTCTCATATATTTCTATAAGAAACAATGTTTATTACTTTTTGGCAACATATGTACGAATTACAAACGATATCTACAGATTGCAAAATGATAAGTTATAGAATGTAAAGATTAAGTGTACAGACTGTTAAATCTTTTAAATCCTGCAAAACGTTGTCAGAAATTAAAGTAATTTATATCTGATCCTTGGTGAATTAATCATTAGGCTAAAATTCAGACATAACTCAAGCCGTAATCATTTTCAATACACCAGAGAGGTAAGATCCTAGTACACCTTACACGCTAATCCCAATTTTGAATAATGCTGCCAGCGCTGATGCATTGCATTGATGCATTGACGTCAATGATGCATTGACGCTTGTCGCCAAATTGATTTTACACTGGGCAGTGACACTTTAAAATAACATCAGTATACAGAGAACCTGGCAAATGTACACCGGGCAGTGGCATTGAAAGAGAGTAAAACTCAACTGTTTAAAAGAAATAAATGCCGAGCCAAGTCCACAATTACAGATTCCAAACTTTATCACTTTCGCTAGTGTCGCCAAATCAACCGTGTAACGTGTACAAGGATTCAGCCACCCCAGGATGTGAAGCCATGTGATCAAATAATAAAGAACTTATGTTTCATGAGGGGCAACACTATGAAATTTTGGTAATTTTTATTTACTTTTAATTTTATATTTTAATCTTAATTTTATAATTTAATTTCAGAATATTTGAAGCATTCAGCTTGTATCAACACCGTAGCACCTGAATTGGATCAATGCACTGAACAATACCAGACTTCTCAAAAATTCCTAGATGAACAAGAGTTCGATGTCCGAACACTAAAGAAGCAAACATGCTGGTAAGTTTTTTTGTATGAAAATAGTAAGGGACGCATGTATGGGACGGTATACGTAAAATTCTCTAAAATTTTTGTTATAAATCTACATAACTGTTGCTCATTAATTCGAATACTAATTTTATTAACTAGTGCAAATTACTACAAAGCAACAATTGCTGTTAATAAAATGTGCTCCATTTAAATGGAGCAACCTTGAAGTTTTGCTGTAAATGATCCAAAGGAAAATCAATAAAAATGAAACTTAGACGTTAAAAAATATTTTCCTACAATTATATATTTACGAAGAGCAACTCGCTTCTGCCCAACCTCGGCAAAAAAATAAACCAAAACTGTTAAAAGAGAGGAAAAAAATTGTCTCCCGGAAAAAAAAAACACTTCTGTTAATATGCGGTTTGTGTGGTTGTGGCGGATATATTGGAATATGTGGTGGATATATTTAAATAAACTACTTTCATTATATCCATCACATATATATATGACTTGAAATAGACGATGATGCGCATTATTTACTAATCTCTGGATTACTGTATCATTCATATTATTCCAGACATCCATGATTACAGTCTACAATTCTGGTATAGACTGAAACTGCCAATGGCATATACCAGTTCTACAGCGGAAAACTTCTATCAAGTCGTATGTAACCATGACAGATATTATATGTTATAAACAGTAATGACTTTGTTTCAATGGAAAAATGTTTTTCTTTCTCTTTTATACATAAACTATGTATGTCTTACTGTATACAATATAACAATTAAATTAAAATAGCAAACAATATATAAAAATTTTGTTTGGTTTATACCAGGCATTGAAAATACTGCATCAGGTCTCAAAAATTAATACTACCCGACTGGCCAGATTCATGTAAATATTTTTCTCAAGTCCTACATGCATGACCAGTTATGTAAATATTTGATCATACATATTGTAAAATACAGAGGACTTCCTCAAATCTTTTATTTATATTTCGTAATTTTCACAATAATACTTTGTTAATGACAATGCTCTGTTGCTATTCCATCAATACTCTATGTTTAATACTTCTATTTTGTTAATGGCTTCTTCATTTTAATGTTAATTAACATTTCTGAGTTAAAATTAAAATTATAGACGTTGATGCAGTTGCAAATGCCATTTTTTTTACAAAGTTTCACTGAGGAACTTTTTTTTCTGTTGCATGAAGTTTTGATTAGATCTTTTACATTTTTGGATCACTCATTTCACATTTGCATTCGGTACCTCTTCTCAAACTACAGATTTTTTTAAATATTATTTTTAGACTATTTTTATCAAAATGTTTAAGTTTAAAAATATAGAGAAAAAAAAGGGGTCTCATAAATTACAGTTACAAACTCTTAGAAGAGTTAGGGCGAATCATCAGGATGAAAATTGCATAGTAACCCATGTCCTGAAGTGTCGTAATGTGCCTAAAAGGTCACTTCCCTATTATGACAAAGTTCTTTCTATTGCTTTTGTACAGGTCACAATAGGGAAGTACCCCTAGCCGTGAACGACGACATTTCCTGGCATAGGTTCCTGTGCAATTTTACCCCCGATGATGCTCCCGAACTCACTCAAAAAGTCTGGCGCAACATTTATGCAACCTCTTCTCATATATAACATATCTTAGCCTAAATGCTTAGACAAGATATAGACTAAAAATATCATTTTTTAAAAAATCTGTAACATTAGAAACAAAGCTAATTTAAATTTGAAATTCTCGAAACTGAGTTAGGCAAGCTCAAGTATTTGTATTAATGCAACAATAAATTCCTCAGAGTAATTAGTAAATCTATTCATATGATTCCATTTATAACTGCTTTCCCGTTATATTTTTTTTAAATTTTTTTAGTACACCTTGTAGAAATTTTTTTATATATTACTAAAGCTTTTACATGCAACTAATATGTCCTTTTTTCTGACTTTTAATATTATAACGTTGAAGTTATTTTGTAATAACATCAAAGTTTATTTACTAAGAAAAATATTTTAACAATCTCTACTCTCATATCTAGCATTTATTTCGAGCACATACAATGTTCCGCAAATGCAACTGTGAGTACTTGCGGTGAGGTAGCTGCTCAAGTCGTGACGAAGTTATGGAAATTGCTGGGAGGAACCTATTTGAATGATGAGTGCGAACCTTTTGAAGATGATCAATCTGGGGGCTGTAGTCCTGTCTCAAAAGGATCTAGTTTGAGACATTCGACAAACACTTTGTATTTAGTGTTTCTAACTTTGTATAGCACACTGTCATATTTCAGATAACACTATCTTAGAATTATTTATTAATATTTGCTGTTTGTTAATAAATTATTTTTCCTATGGAAAAGAAAATAATTCTAAAATTACTTTTTGTTTCTTTTTCCTAAAATTGTTTGCATTTGTTATTTTTTAAAGATTAATAATTCGAGCCACTTGGTTGCATAGTAGCTCTCAGCCATAAATTAACATTGAGAATCTAAAAAAAAATTACAACCACTGAGGGTTAAGGTTAATATTACTTTCAGAGTACTCCGCATAACTTTAGAACTGGACAAAAAAATATAAAACACGTTTATGCAACCCGGAAATAATAATTTTTAAATTCATTGCTTGATTCATACAATGAATAATAACAAAAATCTTTTCATTGTTATGACATATGTACGCTGTATACTAAATTGGGTGTGGATCTGTTAAGAATTTCGGATTTGTATACGGTGCGTACACACATACATATAAACAGTGTTTTATTTACTAGACTTGAAAAATCTGATTCAAAGACCAACTATCACATTAGAAATATTTTTAATACTTTTTTTTAATTTTAATTAAATGGATTTCGATACTAAATATTAACTGAAACAGAGTTTGTTACTCATGTGACTAAATAAGTGAACGAAGTTTGAATTATTAGTGTTTTAAAAAAAAATAATAAAATTTATTTTATTAGTGATTCAAAAAATATAATAAGATTCAACCGATAATCAACTTAAAATCAACTAAAAAGAGAAATTTTCCTAAATTTTTCCTTGTTCAGAAATATTTCAAATAAAATAACAGCCTAAAATATTGCAGAAAAAAATCATGAAAAAATGAATTACTTCTCAAAATTTGCTTAATATAGCAAATAATTTCCCTCTTACTAATTAACCCACATTAACATTGAAAGCTCAACAATATGTTCGAGTACCCTAGGACTATTTATCCACTCTAGCCTTATGGAATCATTTACTAAAGTCTATTATTTCTCAATTAAAAAAATTCACGTCAAAAGTCAAACTTAAAATATGCAATTTGTATATTAATGATTAATATAATATCTCACTTTACTGGAAGGTTAGAGAGTCTGGCTCTGCTAAGATCCACCGTTGCATGTATTAGAGGGAGCGTTACATGTATTGATACGTGGTCGTTAAATCTGTGTAACCGAAAGATCTGAGGTGGATCGCAGAGCAGTACCACAGTTACAGAGATCTGGAGAAAATTTCCTTCCCCTTCAGATGTCTAAATTGAAGTGTCTTCTCAAATTGTGATGGCATGTCTTCGCATAATCCTCAAGGATATTCCCCAGACCGCGACGTGTTGCCCATAGAAAACTACTGTGTGGCGTAAATAAAGTACCTACCTACATCAATCTACTGAAAAAATTAATATTGTAATCAAAAATAAAAGTAAAGCATTCCTACCACAACCCGTTGTGGCCCAGGAGGGGTCATGTAGTTAAGAATCCACTATTTCGTGCAATGTGGTCAGCACTGTGCAAATTTCGTTTTTACTTCCCAGACAAGCTGGTACTCATAAATCTGAAGCTGGGAGGGCTTCGAGCCTCCACTTTGGATCTAACCCAAGTTCTTCACGATGATAGTTTAGTGCCTTAACCACTGAGCTCTCGTGGCTCTATAGTCTAAAATAGAAAAAAATTACAAATTTGCTTTTCCTCCGTTTGATTTAATTTTATATTTCATTGCTTAACATTCAAGTATCGTATGCAACTGTGTTTGGCAATATGGAACAGTAAAGTGATTCTGTCAAAACTTTCTAAATAATATTTACTGATAAATAATAGAACTTGAGCCATATATTAACACTATCCCCTTTTACCTAGCATTTCCATAAAAATAACTGCCTGATTTTTGTATTTTTTAAAAAAGAAAAATAATAATTTACACCCACATAATAATGGTTCCAGTCGAATTCATTTCATTATAAGTGAAAAATCCTCACCTGCTAACAGAGTAACCTTAAAAAACAGTAACAACTCAACGGTAAAGCAATAAATAATACAATTTCACATTATATCCAATGAATCAGCTAAAATGCCAGTTCGTTGAACCATTTTATACGCAGTTGTTATAGTATAAAAAATCGTGGAACGCATAAATGGAATAATGACGTGCTGTATTCCCGTATGTTTAATAAGTTTCTTGAAAGATGAGAATGGAAATAGGAATTAATTTTTGACTCGCAGAAAGTGACACGAATGGCACACATTTTCAACCTCAATAGTTCGTTTTGAAGAGGTCACGAATAGGTTAATATTCCATTATAAGTTAATAGGAATATTTAGAAAGGTCACGAATAGGTGTATTTAAGAAAAAAATTTAGCAAAGGGTGGTCTTCCCAGAAAATATTGTATGCATACGAAGTCCATCTTTATTTGATTAAAATGTTTTTTTAGAAATATTCTTTGTTTACGAAATTTCTTTTAGAAAAAAGATGGATTTTCTCGAAATAATTATAAACCTCAACAATATCTTTCTTTATTATATTAAAATGCTTGAAAATTTATAGACTACTAGTGGGCTGCGCCCCCTGCTCGCTAACGCTAGCTAACCCCCGAAAATTGCTACACAATCTTGTATGGTTTGCTTCGCAAACCAAGCTCGCTTCGCTCGCTACTAACTTAGGTACATTGCAAATGCACAAAATTCTAAGAATTCAAAACAATCATTCAAATCCATAATTTTTTTTTTTTAAATACATGTTTTCAGTTAATACTAAGTCATTAGAGTAAATTTGAATTCAAATAAATGACATGTAATTCGTTAAACCTATTAGATATGTGCTATAGTATAATTCGTGATATAAATCAAAAATCGTCAAATAAATTCGTAATATATAAATTCGTGAAAAAAAGCGCTTTCGACAAAATACTAAAATAGAGATCTATCGACAAACACTACTCACTTCTGCCTAGCTCAATACTATGAGATTGCCGCAGCTGATGCTCTCTGGTTATTTCAGTTTCCATTTTTAAAAGTGCTACATGTTGAGCCACCTTAGCTAGATTTGGCATGTGACATTTTTAGGGGCAATCATTGGTCGATTCGCCGTGTAAGAGAAATAGTAACGTAAACAAAAAAAAGCAAACGTTGCCACCGGCGGAAAAGAAATACAGCCATAATTTGGGAGCCACGTAAGAGAATTATATATATTACATACTAGAAGGCTATCCTCCCTGTTCGTTAACGCTCTCCAACCCCGATTATTGCTTCGCAATAATTGCTGTTTCTTGGCATAAAACAGTTAAAATTATTCAACTAAAAATATATGTACTAAAAAGAGAACACTTGAGCCGCCACTTCCCACGTCCAAATATTCCTTTTATGATTAAGATCTATCACTGAACAAAAATCATTTTTCTAACCATTCAGTTTTTGAAATAACATAATTAAAAGTACATTGTTATAACAAATTTAGTACGCTCACAACTGTTACTTAATATTTTTACTCAAGAAACTGGAGGATATATTTCAAACATAATTTTTTAATTCATCACTTTGTGAATGAAGCTGAAAGTAAAGTTCTAAACTATGTAACGAATCTCTTTAACCGCATTCATAACAGTATATGAATGCAATTTGTATCAAGAAATAATAATTGTAAAACGGCTTATAAGATAATAAATAAATAACTTTTATCCTAAAATGTAACGTAGAATTACGTTATTCTAATAATAATAATAATAAAATATATCCTTTTAAACTCGTAATTTAGAAAACAAACAAAATTAAAAAACATGATAATAACAGTTCAGGTAAATGCCTTTAAATTAGAGATACTAAAATATTTATAGGAAAACAATATCTTTTTAGCTTTTACCAATTTTATGCTGATGACAACCAAATCAATATGAAAATTAATGTGGGTAAACTGGGTCCTATCATGTGATTTTCCGGTGAATAAAAATGCACCGACAACAATAGAAAACTGCGTTAGACCATTATGTTTTTATATTACATAAAAATATTCTTATGAATATGCATTGGTTTTTTTTAGCAAATTATCTAAACTATAGTAAGCCCCATATCAAAATCTTTCATTATTAGAATAAAATTGCCAGCATTTTTTGAATGAAATAATTATAGATTTTCTTTATTTAGTCTCGTGCTTTCCCTTTTTTTGTATTTTGGCACTTAAATTGGTAAACAATTGAAAAAAAGAATCATGATGAACAATAAAAATGAATAATTGTTAAAAAATTTTAAGAGAAGTCTTTTTGACAGACTTGTTAACATAGACTTTTTTTATTGATTTATTTAGCAACTCGTTTTCTCAATGTGGTTAATTCAAATTCGTTTTCTCGTTTTCTTTTATTATAATTTTTTTTATATATTTTTATTATAATTTTCAAAATCCTTTAAGTTTTATATAGTGCATTAAAACATCTTCTGTTTTATTACTTTTTTTTTGCTTATTTTTTGTGCATTTATTAACTCGCTTTCATTTCTGTAAAAGTGGATATTTGCAATCGATGTATCAAAACTTTTTAAACTCGCTAAAGTACTTAAATCCCAATTGAAGTTTTGAAACTGTTGACATATTTTCCTAAATAATGCGAGCAAAATGTATCACCATTATTAAGTTAATAATCGCCATTATTATTAACATGTTTCTGACACAAACATAAACTAAAAATATTAAAATAAAATGAAAAATTTAAAATACGAACTTATCTAGTTGATTTAAGAGAGGTAAATTATCTCATTTTTGTCAGACATGAAATAAAACAAGGAGGAGTAACAATTTTATAATAAACACCTAGCGCACTCCAAAACTTGCCCTTCGTCTAATTTTTTCTTTTATATCAAAAAAAAAAATTTATTTCATATCCCAAGTCTACATAAACGCAGTTTTAAAAGTTTTTATTTCATAAAATTCTTTTCACTTTTATGGGCACTTTATTAAAATAAAGAAAAAATACTGGATTCATAAATAAATCCTTTTAACAGAAAACAAGTTTCGGATATCGATACTTGGTCTAATTAAAATAAATATCTGACGCACACAGTAAAAGTTAGTAATGAAGTTACCATTTTAAGAAAATTTCTCTTCAGAAATCGGAAATAGTGTCAACGGAAGATTGTCATCCGGTGATGTTGTTCCAGTCTGAATCACTAAAAACAGTTGTGTCATTCTTTTGAAGAAAAATGATAGCCAATATATTTTTGTCTAGATTTATTCACAACGAAATTGCTAAACCATGATTGCTGTATGGAATATGATACTTTTTCTATTGTATGGTAAGTTAAATCTCATTTTTTAGCCCTACAAACTTTATATTTGTTTTCTTTTCCATGCGTTTTTATTAGATCTAATTCTGTATTTAGGAATTTTACATCTTAAAATTTCTCAGAAATAATCTTCTGAAAATCCATGATTGAAATGGAATTTTTTAGAACAATTGCTTTATTTAGCAAAAACGTCTTAGTAAAAACAACGAATGGATATATCAAGCCTGAAAAGTAAATTCATGCATTATTTTCTGACAGGGAAGTTTAAATTTGTGTAAAATATTAAAATAACTCATATTTCTATTGAACAAAAGTTCTAATTTGTAACATCGAAAACAAAAACTCCATTATCAAGAAAAACTCATTTAAATGTTCTGTTTTCGGACTATGATCTCTGAATAACTTAAGTTTATTTAAACTGCTTTAGCCTATAGTAGGCTATGACGCATTTGAAAAAGAAGTATGTCTAAGATGACTATAGCATATATGACTATAATATAGATATGAAAAATGCAGAAAAAAGAAAGTAATTGAGTTATCGAATTTGTCAGCTGTTTATATTTTAGTGGCAACCTTCTACGGAAAAATTTTCAAGTTTTCAAAACAACATGATTATAAGGGAGCGAGGTTAAAGTGTGCGCCACCCAGTGAGGTGGCCTAGGTTTGAATCCCAGCGCTGGTGTGTCGATATGAATTCTGCAGCCGGTTTACGCTGACCCCAGTGCTGACGTAAAAGTTTTTGAGGTTTTCCTTTCCATATTGGGTTGTGTTAAAAATTACATGGCTACAGAGTTAAACATTGGTTGTCATAAACTCAGAATTGGGTCAGCAGTTTAAAGCTCGTTATAAATATATATTGATCTAAGTTCTTCGCACATATACACCTAAAATATTTCTCAAGTGCTTACTAGTAAGGGAGAGGAGATCGATGCTGTTAATTTTTTTTATTGTAGTAGTAGTACTTTATTTATGTTGCGCTACAGCTGCACCATGGGCTATTGGCGACGATCTTCAAAACTTTCATGTGGATGATTCGAAGATATACCATCACATTTTTTTTGCCTTCAGCACGTAGAATAACCCGAACGATCTACCACGAAATCAGGCATTAAAGTTTTTGATCAGCAACAGAAATTACTTTAAAATGTATACTTTAAATTGTAAGAAAGTATTTTTGACCTGATGAAATAATTTGCCATTTGTCTCGAAATTGTTGAGCCTTAACCTCTATGACCACCCTGGCCAACAACGGAATGTTGAGGGAATGCTTTACGTCATGCAAAAATTAATATCATATAATATTTCTACTAAAAAAAAGTGGCATTTCAGAACGACTTTCAACCAATTTAGGAATAGTTTCTGAAGTGATGTTTTATATTTTCATTAACATTTTTATACATTTCGAAATAGAAACATTTGTATTTAAAGTTACTGTGTTTTCTATTTTTGGCTGGCGATTTCTTAAAAAATTCAAAATTGAAACCATCTGCATTTAAGCTCAATCTAATTTTATCTTGTCTAATATTAATCCTACGCAGAATTCGAAAATTTGAAAAGTCGCAATAAAAAATTCAAACAAATATACGTTTCTAGGAGCCCTCATTCAGGTATAGATTTACTATCATATTAAATTTCATAACTGTAAGTACCCCCATGTATCCTTAAGACATCACGCAATCAAACAAATACTCACGCTTGTCATTTGCTATATGCAGAGATGTAAAAGTGCTCTTTAATAACCATCCTTAATGTATATATTTTAGGAATACTTGTCAAAAATAAAATAACAGTATACACACATTAAAGGTAGGAAAGTATTATTTAACCGAGAAAGTACTAAAAAGAGGAAAATCTAATAAAACATTGAAGAAGGCATGATGGAAAGCATCAAAATCAGTTGGTTACTAAGATCAAAATTAAAAGGATTTCTGATTAATATTGTTTATTCCTCCTTTTAGTTTATTTCATAATCGATTAAACTTTAGCCTTCGTCGTTAATTGCAGTCTAGCCGATTCCGAACTCGGCATTCTTCTTCGAACATCATGACACTATTTCAGAAGGACATTCTATCTAGCATTAAAAGTTAAATTTTCGAAAGAAAAAAATCCATCTACTTTTAAATTAATAAATTTAAGTTCGTCCTACTAACTTTACTCTCTCATCCATACCAAAACTGATACTTATAATTTATCCTATATTTCAGACGCAGTTTCTAGTGAATGGGCAACTATCAAAGAAAAAGAAGGAACAGAAAAAGCTATACAATGTTATTCAGACATGCTTATTAATGGCGATATATCCCACTTGTTTTTAGACGTCACGAGTCCTGAAAAGATCGATGCCTTTTGTGGGTAAGCACTGTTAAGTAATCTAAGCCAACTAACCTGATGGAATCATGTAACAGTTTGAAAAATTTCACATATCATCCTTAAAAAAAATGCATGCTCTTCAAACTATAAAGCGCAATAATGTATGCTTTCCATAATTTAACAGAAAAAAAATGAAATCGAAACACAGTAAAAGTCCTTTATAACGACAATGACATGGTACAAATCCCATCGGTGGCTGGTCGGATGGCTTCCTGCTCGCCGACTACAGTGCTGACGTAAAATATCGTCAATGGTAGAGGGATCATGGATTAGAATCTCTTTGCTGTCGGGTTAACCGCGGGGAATTTTCAACCAGTTTTGCTCTCCATGTAAAGCAAATGCGAGTTAGTTCCATCAAAAAGTCCTCCACTTAGGTTAGTTTATTCCAATGCATGATCCGGGAGTTTCTTTGTCTACTGAGTTGGATTCAAAATTACAAGACTGCGAAATTGAACATTGATAGTTGTAATATCTGGAATGGGTTGACTGTTAAACGCAAGTTATGAAATAAAAATTCACAATAGCAGATTAAACTGTCGCTATAGCAAATTTGTCGTTGTAAGAAAATACTCATATTTATTCTTAAATAACAATAAAAAAACTAATAGTGAAATAGACATATTTATCTCTTTTTCTTTTATTTCAAACGACCATTTTGATTTAAAATACATAAGTATTAGAATAGACTTTTTGCCCACAAATTGTCGACTGAACTTAGACATGTATATTATGAATGGCAGAAATGCCCGTGACAGGAATATTTGAACAAGTTTTTGCAAAAATAAAATAAACTACAATTTCTGTCTTTCATAGATTACCATGAATATGGATTTGAATAGTAAGTTGTGAAATAGGAAAATCGGGGATGGGGGGCATATTTTCCTTGTTCATGATAACACACGATCAACAAAGAGTAAATTCTTTCGAAAGTGCAGAATTTCTATAAATAATAGGAGCAGGATTGAGAGCAAGATTTCTATAAATAATGGGAAAAAAAACATTTATTTTGTTCAGAAGATAACTTAGCCGGTGGTTATACAAACATTGCCTTATAAATATAAAGTGATAAATTATTAATTTTTCGCTTTTCTGTATTGATAGCAGAATAAACAAAAATGCATTCCATTTGAACCTTTTTCATTTATAATATTGTTCATTTAAACCATAGAAAAAATTATTTCTCTAATAACAGTTTTGTCGTAATAGTGGAAGGAGAACAATTTTTAACTCGTCATAAACATACTACATTTGTACCTTTAAGATTGGCCTTTTGACGGTGATCCCGGAATTTGTTGTAATAACGGACTCCTTATATGGAGCTTTTACTACAATTTTCCCCTCTCTCCGAGAAAATCTTTACGCGAATTAAAAATAATAATATGATTCTCAACTCAAAACAAGTCCAGTAGAAACAAGCAGTAGTAGGAGTTATTTTTCAAGACCCCCGAAGTGGATATGGACCCAAATTTTAATTAAAAAACTTGTTCTTTTTTCTAGTTTGTAGTTAATTTAAATATTCGTTGTTGCTTTTACAGACGAATATCACGGTTGAGGAAGTGCATTGCTGAAAACGAACATCATTTATCTGTTCCCCAAAATACCCAATACCTTCAAAAAGTAAGAGGAGTGGAAACATTTTATCTCAATGTTTGTCCACCAGGAACGGAAATCACAACCCGTAAGTATTATTATACGTTCTTAAACTTACTATTTGAATGAATTAAAACATTCATCTACCGAAGAGAAAATTCAAATTCAAAGCACGAAGTCACTTATTCTCCACTGTGAAAAATACATTTTGATATGCATGATAGAAAAATAAATTGGTAAAAACTAACGGGTATTTTGCCAAGAGGATTATTAAAATCTTAATATATTGTAACGAACTATTTCATTGAATCCGGAAAAGCTTTTGCATTTTGTTTGCTTGATTTTTAAAAAAAAAATTATTTGCTTTGAAATATTTTTTAAAAGAAATGTTTATGCAGAGTTGAATGTAGACATTTAATTCAGCAAATTTATTTCACTTGACGAAATAAAGTTTAAATGAATTTTAAAAGTAATGTAAATTTTTTTTTATTTCTAAATTTATGTTATCTAATGCGAAATGCATATTAGACGTTAGATTTGTATTGAACAAATCAAAAAGATTGATCAGAATCACAATTTTTTTTCATATCGATCGGTCGAATTTATTTAAAACATCCGACGAGGCAATATCAACGAAATATTGACAATATCGACGAAAGTTTGATTTTTTTTCTAAGTTCTTTATATAAATGTGTAAAATATCTGCTAATTCTTACTTATTTTTTCGATTTAAAAAATCATGTAAACTGCATTCTATTGTCTGCATTTGAATTTCTGTTCATTATCTTTCTAAATCTCTTTAAATGGAGAATGTGTGTTAAGATTTCTATATATTTTATTCATATAAAAAATAATAGTTATATAAAAAAAAATTAATATGAAAGAAAATAATACTTTAAATTCGTTTTCAGAACAACGTTAATTTTACTAAAATCTCTTTATGATAATCCACATTGCCAAAAAAAAATTTATTATAGAATTCTTTGAAACATTGTATATAGATTTTGTAAAACGTTAACTCTGTTCTCAACTATAAGCTAAGGTCTAAGTGCGAATTTATTATTTTTATTGTGCTTTAATTAAGAATGTTTAGAATTCTTTAAAACAATTAAATATTAAACAACATATTTAGTTCTATTTAAGTGTACACTTGAAATTTTTTAAAGATTTTAGTTCTAAGCCCTGGCAACAATATTATATCGAGAATTTTTTTTTATTGATACTGATGCATTGCAATTTGTTGTAGTGCTTCTAGCGTAACATTAAAAAATCTGTAGTTTTTATGCTAAATTCATCCTTATTTTGAAAAAAAAAATAGTTTATAAATTTTTAAAGTTCACTTACATTTATAGTTTTGATCCCTCCTGTTTACCAAAAATAAAATAAAAATTTAAGGCTGTTATCAAGAAAAAAACTGCGTCAGACTCAGTTCTAAATCTCTATAAACATAATATTTATTAGTTAATTTCGCAACTTAAAAATGAGATATATTCTCTACTCTAACTATCTATTATAACAGCATTATTTAAAATTTTAAAACAAAATTATTATTTTTTTACCAAATTTAAATGTCATATTTTTTTCCATCATCTTCAGAATTTTTTCTCTATGAAAACTGATATTTTATTTGTTCTTCATTTTCTTTCATAAAAACTTTATACTAGATCTTTAAATAAATAGTTTCTTTCCATTTTAATATCTTCAGATAAATTTAGCTTCTTTCCATTTTATATTTGCTGATTTTTATAGTAAGCAACATTAAATTTTGATTTTTGAAAAAAAATTCTTTCCTTTAACTTGAATATGTACAGTAATTTTAGAGTTCCTATGTTTTAAAATTAAGTTTTAAAAATGTTTTCAAATGTTCTTGAATTTAATCCATTATAATACAAAAATTCCTGCACATTTTAGAAATCTTCAAATTAATCAGAAAAATTTAATGATTCGAATAGCTTTTACTAGACTGCAAAAATCATGAAGCGCTCCTTTAACGATTAAAGCAAGAATTTATCTAACTCAGATAAAAAAATAATTATATCTCAGGCAATATATTTTTTATCAAATATCCAAAAATATTTCATTAATCTAAAATGTTTTTACTGTTAAGTAAATTACAGAGAAAAAACCCATTAAGGTTGCGGCCTACGCCACAATCACCCATTTGGCATCATTAAACAACATATTATGGGAGTTAATTCAATTAAATCCTTGAACGTAAAAGTGTAAAATTATTTAAATAAGTGTCATTAAAATGTTCTTTACGATCAATATCTTAATTTATTCTTTTTCCGGAAAAATGTTATGATACTATAGCATGATTAAACTAACAGAAACTTGAATTGATTATCAATTCTTTTAGGTGTCCGTTAAATTCGAAGACATTCCCAAAAAAATTTTATTCTTAGAAACACAAATTCCATTTATTTTTCATAATTTTCACATTAACTTTAAAGTCTATAACATCTAAAGGTTATTCAAGATTCTCTTTAAATGTTGAAATCTTTATTTTTCTATTTTTCTTCATGGTTGCCAAATTAATTGAAATATTTTCACGGATATTGCAGCAATTTTTCTATGCCATTGTTCCAGCAGCTCCCCGTCCGACTGAGAATTGAAAAAATTTATTACAGAGCATATGTAAATAAAGGGAAAATAATTTACAATTCATAAAAATATAAATAAATTATTTTAATTGATGAAAACTAAAATTTTGAAAATCGGATTAAAGATTCCCGATGAAAGGAAATTCAAAAATACTTTTTCAGTGTTTCTATTGCAGGAATTATTTAAGAAAATTTCGCTCAAATTTTAAGATTTGTACTTATACAATTTAAGATGTATTAGTTCTTATTCCTAACAATCTAGCATTTTTTTTCAATTATTAATGAATTAAACAACAAATAATGACAAACAATAATTAAAAAACAATTTTTATAGTGGAATTCAGTGAACGAGTATTATAAATAAGTGCAAAGCCTTTTTAAATCCCGGAATTAATTCCGAAGATACGAACTCCAAAAAAAAATTAGGGAGATTTAACTTTCTAATTCCCCCCTGACTATTGAAACTATATTTTCCAGATTGTAATAACCCCCATCAAAAAATTCAAAATATTTATTAAAAGCAACTAAGTTTTAATTATTTCGTAACTAAATTTATCTAATATTATACTTTGCACTAACTATTTAACATAGATTAGTTTTACATCGAATGTATCAGTTTCGAATATATGTTATTATTGTATATAATGCAATAATTGCATGTATATAATAATTGTATGTATATAATAATTGTATCTATATAATAATTGTATGTATATTAATAATATATTACACACAACAATAATAAGTTCGAACGGTAAAATATTATTGATGGTATTTTCTGTATTTAACTTAATTCACCATATTTTCACCTTTGATAATATTAAATCTTTTAATCGATTTTTGAATCTCGTAATTAAAATAATATTAGTTCTCTATGCAAAAAATAAGTATTAAGATAATAAATGCTTGCGATCGATTTTTTTATGTCACGCAATTTAAAATAACACAATTGCGCTTTCCTCGAGGAATTTTTTTAAATTCTTCAGTACTTTAATGTCAGTTTCGCGTTCAATTCTTTCTTTTGAGCTTGTTCCAACAAAGGTCAGGTAAAATAGCTTTCCTCATAAATAATAATGAATATCATTTTTTTTCTCTTAAACATCGCTTATTTTCTTATTCTTTTGAAAAAGTTGCATAAGCTATTTATGGACTAATATCATTTCCATCCACTTTCAAATAATAACTTTCGATCTTTATTAAAGTTGCTCAAGTAGTAATATATACAAAGATCAATAGAGTAATGCTGTCTTAATTTACTATAAAAATGTAAAAAAAAAAAAATAAATTCTGCTGAGCATCGTGAAGTTTGCCCTCAAAAAATAGGGGTGTAAAATTTTTAAAAAATATTCGTATAAGTTCTTGCCCTGAAAAAAATATTAGATTTATACAAACTTTTATTGTTAGGATTATATATATATATNTATTTATATATATATATATATATATGCTTTTTACGTTTTACTAGACCAAAAGAGAATGCTTTAACCCAGATATATTTAGCAGCTTGACGTAATGAACATAAACTGCGCAGTGGGGGTTATACAAAAGATGTCATTGAGTTTGAACAAACCCCCTTATCCATCGTTGATACTGACTTAACATGAAACACCCAGTTTCGAAACCCCGGTTTGGCAATATAAACCATGAGTTGAAAAGTTTAGTCTTCATTATTTTTTGACTATTTGTTTCGATACTAAGGGTTTTTTAATCCGCTGTTAACTTCCACTCTGGTGGTAGATTCATAACCTTATTAACAGTGCTTGTTTTCAATTTTCGTTGCTATTCTTGAAACATTTTTTTGAAGAAAAAAAAAAGATTATATTGAGTAATTAAATTTGAATTACTCTTTTACTGGGCAAGTGAAAAATATGTTAAGTTTCGTTTTTCTAACTGACTTGTATTGATGAGGGATGAGTTTTATTATTATGAATTTATATATTTTATTATTATGAATATCATAAAGCCTTACACAAATGTAGAAATATTACTGAAATTCAATTAGAAATACTTTTATTTCAAACTGTTATTTAATACTTTTATTTTACACAACGATCTAGCTAACATTATTCGCATTTTTAATCTTTTATTTTTTAAAACATATTAACGATCACTCAAACTATTGAGAAAAATTTTCTTTTTAATAAACTTTAAATGAAATTGTGTCAAATAAACTTCTCAGATAAGCGTATATCTACACATTCCTTTATTCAGAAGAAGTTCTGATTTTTTTTTTCATTTTCAAGGACTAACATCACTTAATTCTGTGCAGAATTCTGAAAATATATTTCAATATGATATAATTTTTAATATGATATGATATATATAATTGTCTCACAAAAATACAAACTTCAAGAATGAAAGAAAGAAAAAAGCAAAATTAGTTGATATTTGGAATATATTTGAAATCGAACGCCTCTATCAAAACATGAAATACTATGAACTTTAATTTAAAATTTTCTGAAATTTATTGAACTTCAAAATTCATAAATTATTTTTGCTGTTTCTTTTATTAAAACGTAACATTATGCGTTTACTTTACTCGAAGTAAATTTTATTCTAATATCAAAATGTTAAAGCATGTTACAAATGCATAAAACTTAATTTGAAGTTTAAAAATTTTATGTCATAGAATAAAATGAGATATTAGTCTATGGAAACTTCAAATACTGATTTTTAAACATCACTTTGTTACTCGACAAAATCCTAACATAGAAAGAGTTCAAGGATAAGATAGATGAATTAGAAAAAAATTCCGTCAAATTCCCGACACAATTTCCTGATGAAAGAATCACTTTAAAGTGCTTTGCGTTTTTAAAGGATGTTTTATTTTAATTGGCGTTATAAATATTCTTATGTGATTACTGTTATAATTATTTTTATAGGATTAATGAGATGAATATTTTTTTTGGATTGTTGTGATAATTGTGATAAATATTCTTATGGGATTATTGTAATAAACATTCTTATGTGATTGATGTTATAAATATTTCTATGTGATTGATGTGATAAATATTCTTATAAGATTGAAATTATAAATCTTATATATTGATGTGATAGTGAGAGCGAAGTGATAAATAAGGCACTTGATGTGATGAATATTTTTACGTGATTGATGTGCTAAATACTTTTATGTGATTGATATGAAAAATACTATAATATAACTGATACGATAGAAAGGTATTCAATATTCTTACTAAACTTTGATGAGTTTTAAGTAATTTTTATTTCAATTGCATGTTAAAGAGGATTATTTATATTTCATTCTTTAGAATACAAAGGAAATTCCCCATGTTTTCAATTAATAAAGAAAGAAATTTTGTTCTGTGGATCAGATTTACCTGACGTATCAAGTTACGCAATGCAATACGAAGAAACAACTCGATGCTGGTATGTGATAACCAATTTGGAAAATAATGAACTAAATAGCTTGAATTGCATTGTTAATTCTAAACTTTTTTTTTAAGATAGTATCATTAGCGCTTTTGTCAATATATTATTTATGAAAACAAAAGATCAGTATAAAAATCTTCTCAGACCTAAAGTTAAATTCAAAGTAATCAAAGAATAAATTTTTAATGAAGTATATTTTCCAATATTTTCGAATGCGAAGATAATGTAAATGGGAACAATTATTCATCATAAAATGAAAATGATATTTTCTAAAAAGTTTGGAAGTATGCGTAACAACTTTAAAAAAAACAAAACATATTATTTCTACTTACAGAAATAATATTCTTACTATTAAAATAACTATTGAATTTCAGGTGGTTGAAGTATTTTGATAATTAAATTAACACATTAATATGCGTAGAAATAAAATTAAAAAGAATAAATAATAAAACAATAAAAATGATTGAATCATTTTATTGTTAAAATGATTCAATTAATCATTTTCATGAAAAATTATTATTTAATCATTAAAATGATTCAACTATTTCTTTCATGAGAAAGTTAATGTGAAATATTATCACTTTACCAATCATAAAGAAAACTATCTGAGAAAAAATCCAAGAAAAGTAGCAATTTTTTAACAATTCGCTGAAAAGAGTATCGTGAATTTAAATTTAATTTACAATTTAACGAGAAAAAAAATTTCAAATTATTATGTGAAGAAGAAAGGATTTCTACAATTAGAACAGATTTTGAATGCAATATATGAAATGCTTCTTATAATTAAAAAATCTGCATCTTCTAGATGCACAGATTTGGTGGAGGAAATTAAGAGTCGCAACGTATTTAACTATACTACACAAAACAAAATTTAAATCTTTTTTTGTTTGCTGTTCCCGATCTTTACGCTGATTCATTAGCGTCTGAAAAACTTGAATATCATTTTACAATCACTCATGAGCGAAACTTTACTTCATGTTTTTTTTTTTAGAATGAATTTAAAAAGAGCCGTGATGCCTCAGGTAATAGAACGTCCTCCTTCCAATTAGGTAAAACGGATTCGAATCCCAGCGATGGCTGGTTGATACGAATTTCGCAGCTGACTCACACCGACTACAGTGCTGACGTAAAATATCCTCTGTGGCAGACGGGTCTTTGGTTAGAGTCCCTTTGTCGTTAGGCTAACTGTGGGAGGTTTTCCTCGCTGCAACGCAAATGTGGGTAACTTCCATCAAAAATTGTCCACGAAGGTAAATTTCTCCCAAAACTTTATCCAGGCGTTCTCTTGTCTTCTGAATTGGGTTCAAAAGTACAAGACTGTGGAGGTGAACATTGGTAGTCGTAAACATGTATGGCAACGTTACTTTTAAAAAGTAACGAGTAAAAGTACAAGTATTTTTAAAAAAAGTAACGAGTAAAAAGTAAAAAGTTCTTACTTTAAAAAGTAACGAGTAAAAAGTACAAGTAAAAGTACAAGTACTGAACAAAAAAAGTAACGATTTAAAAGTACATTTCTAGAAAATCGAAAATTCAAAGTAACCTAAAATTTTATTGAATAATATTCTTATGTTCTTTAATGTTTTTGCAAAATTGTTGTTATTTATTTAATTATTTTTAATTTTGAAAGTTATGGATATTAATTTATTTTTAAATTCGGAAGAATATTATAATATAATTTTATAATATAATCGTATAATATAATTTTAAAATTAAATATAATTTTAATATCAAACTTTTTATGGATTTGCACGAAAAAGAAATTTTATCTATTGATTTCAATTTTTAGTTTATTATTTTTATTAATTTAAATTACCAATGATTTAAAATTGTTTTACTCTTAAGAAACGCGTTTTAAAAGCACAAACATAAACAAAGCAAACACGGGGTTTCAGATAGCTTTGAGATCTTTGAGCTAGTAAAAAATATTTGAATGTGCAGTATAAGTTGAAACTGTTGAAACAGAAGGTATTTAAACACGAAGTTAGCTGTGAAGGCATATATATTGCACATTAATTTTATAAATTAAAATAACATAAGCACTTTTTTTTTTTTAGAAAGTTTACCGAGTTTTAGAAAAAAGTAACGATTTCATTCGATATTTCCGTTACAAATACTTGTACTTTTCCCTAAAAAAGTAACGAAAGTACGAGTAAAAGTAGTAAATTTTAAAAGTAACGAAGTACAAGTAAAAGTACGTACTTTTTACTTGTACCGACGGTACAAGTAACGAAAGTAAAAGTACTGCCATATATGGTCGTAAACCTAAAATTGCGTCGGTTGTTCTGCGATGGTTATAAAATAAAAATAAAATTATTTAAAAAAGTTGCATTAAAAAAAGGCATGGAACAATCTATCTTTTTGTATCGATACAATTTCATTTACATATTTTTTTAACCCTAAATTCATTTTTATGTTTACATAAATAAAAAAACCCGCATTTCAATATAAATGCACAGTACAATATCTGATACAGCTGTTATGAATAAGAAAATATTGCAATGAAACTCAATTTACAGTTTTCTAATATCATCTCTAACATGTAATTCTCAATAGTAGCTGAAAAAGCGAATAAGCACATATTGTTGATGATTAAAAAAATTTAAGTAATGATGAGTCACGTTTTTTAGTTGTTTCAGAGACTATCTTGGGTAAATTAAACACTATGCTTTCAATAAAAACACTGAGATTTTTATGTATTGTACTGATAATTAGTGGGAATTTGATGAACTATTAAAATAAAATATTCAAAACTTGCTTTACAAGTTTAATGTAAAAATCTCAGGAAAAGATAAGGCTTATCACTATATTGACCCTTAAATCTTCAAATAAAATTACTTTTTTTCGCTTAACAATAAAATAATTTTGATATTTAAACTGTTTATTACTTTTTTAGATTCCTTGCTATTTTATAAATGCATTTTATTTCGTTTTTAAAATGGAGTTGAACAGCCAACCTATAGGACTATCAATGTTCAACTCAGTGGTCTTATAATTTTGATCCCTACCCAAAAAACAAATGAACTCCTGAATTAAGCATTGTAACAAAACTAGCCTTCGTGGAGGACTTTTTGATGGAACTAATCCACATATGCGTTACATGGAGAGGAAAGCAACGAGAATCTTTCATGGTTAACTCGATTCCAACCCATGATCTGTCTACCGTTCAGGATATTTTTCGTCAGCACTGTGGTCCGTGCGAGTTAGGATGTAGAATTCGTATCAACCAGCCACCGCTGGAATTCGAACCTGAGTAACCTCATTGGAAGGTTAATTCCCTGAGCCATCGTGGCTCCTATAAACGCATTTTTAATTATTTAAATATAAGTCATAAAATAGTTTTACTTGTCTTATGTGCAGTGCGTTAAAAAGTCTCATCACTATACTATCGCACGCTTTTCAAATAGAACTGCTTTTTTTCGATTAAAAATAAAGTAGTTTTTGTATTGAAATTTTATTAAAATATTGTTTTTATCCCCTTATTTGTTTCTTTGCCATTATTCTATAAGCGCATTTGTAATTATTTAAATGTGAAACATTAAATGCTTTTGCTTGTTTTATTTGTAGTGCGTTAAAAAGTCACAGAGAATGCATGTACAAAGCTGTTTCTGGATATTGCGGAACAGATGCTGGAGACGTTACCACAAAGATTCTTGTGAAGTTCTTCCACCCACAACTTAAAGGCTGTGACAAAGTTTATCCCCGCTGCCAAGAACACGGATTCACAGACTCATCAGATGTCCGGCAAACGTATAATCCATATGGTCCAGATGATATCGGACCAAGAACACCAAACAGACGATTCTACGGCAATCACCCAGAACCACGTGAAACAGAATCTGAAGGCAGTTGGAAAGATCACGAAACAGTTGATAGGAAAAAATGTAAATCAAATGGAAATTCCGTTTATGGAATAACGAGCAGCATTTCAAGTTTTTGTGTCATTTTTTTACAATTATTGTGTACTAGATACTATTGGTTTTAGTAACGTAATTTTGGGTATTGTTATCATCTTACTCATCAAAGCATAAAAAGGACAAAGAATTTCATATTTTTCATATAAAACTATATTCATTTACATTGTATTAGAAGACAATATTTTATTATCATGTTGATATTGTAATAAAATATTCATGAGAAACTTGCGGAAAAACCATAAAGGCAACAAAAAAAACTTCATAATCCTTCACTTTGTAAAAAATTATGTTGTCATATGTTGAGATAAAACGAAATAAATTTATATTCTTGTAAGATAAACTCCAGTATGCATCATTATCTCTAGCATGCAGAAATATTTGTAAATATTGAACTTGTGTGCAAAAAAAAACTCAAGACTTAACCATAGCCGCAGCAGTCGGTTGTGAGACTGTTAAAAATGGTTTAAATTGAAATTTCGCACTCAGCTGCAAGATTGTGACAATATGGCCAGCATTTCATAAACGCTGTTTTTACTTCCCAGACAAGCCGATAGCTATCGATCTGAGTCCCACGGTAGACTGATCGCAAAGACACGGTTCCCAGTAGAATCCCGAAGTCAAGCATCACTGGCTGTGGTCAGTAAGTGGGTGGGTGACCACTTGGATCAATTTGCTCAAGGTCCGAGAGCGGGCAATATTGTTTCTCATTAAACCGTTCTGCCGTAAAGTGCTAGACTTCAAGCGTAGGTCGTCATTACCGAAGCAAAAAAAAAAAATTACTGGTTAAATGTTACAAGTAAAGTACAAGTGTAAAATATTTGCATACTATTACTGATGCAAATGTTCAATTAACTATAGTAAGAAGTATTGAAATAAAACTATTGTATGCACTTAAAATCAAAGTAGAAACAGTGAATGTTATAAATCTGCACTTTCGAGAAAAACCAACAAAAACTGCCAATTATTGAAAGATCACCTTAATTGCTTCCAAATTGTTGGATTCTCTTCTTTAGGCAGTCTGAAAAATTACTCTAATTTACGACTGATATTCCAAAACCAACAAAGACTTATTTTCGTAAAAAGGTTGCATACCTCGTTTTAACAGACTGCTTCAGTTAAAGGAAAAGGTACTTATTTGTTATGAACAACCTTAAACATCTGCTATTATTGACGCAAATGATGCTCAGTTTAGGTATTAAGCAAAACTAGATGTTTGTGGTTGTATTATGGTAATGGTTGCAGTTTTAAATATACTAATATAGGGTCAATGTTATAATAGTTACTTAGTACCAGTTAAAACAGCATCAATACTATAAACTGTTTTAATATAAATAATGAGAAAAGAACTTTTGACGGTCTCTCGAAAGAGATACGTGCAAGAGAAAAGTCTACGATTGCGACTAAGTCACAAGTTAATCTAGAGCCAAATAAATACAGTTAATCTTTATCTTCACACTAGTGCTGTTAGGTGCTGGTTATTTTTCATCACGCACGAAAAACAAATTCAGCTAGTAATTAATATTTAATAAAGTTTTTTTTTTTTTAACTCCGAATTCGATATAGCTTATATTACTATTTTGTCAATAACTGTAGTTCTACATCTCAGTAAAATAGAAGCGACACAAACGGAAAATGATTAAGGCAGAAGTGCAAAGTACTTTTTCAAAAGGTAAACATTGTTTATACGCAAGACATTAAGAAAAGCATGTTTGATGCCCCAAGACTAAGTTTGAAGAGTATAAAATTAAATTCTTGAAATGTTTAACTCTATTGACGTTTTTATCACCATAGTTTAAGTCTTAATATATTTAAAAGACAAAACTGCAGAATGCAGGTTCTCTACAAAGCAAAAACAATGCTTTCTTCACACAATTTAATGTTTTTATTTATAGAAATTAAAATTTAATGAACTTCATGGTTACATTCGAGAATGTATTTTTAAAGAACGAAGTTCTTTCGGAGCATATCTATTAAATGGGTAACAGCAATATTTCAGCAGCAAGAGTTTTCAAAAATTTAAGACCGTGTTTAAAACTGAAATTTATCATCTGATGACTAAGCTGAAACATTTATCGCAGACTTAAAAATCATGACATTTAAAATTCACACAGTATGAGTATAATACCATCGGTTAAAAGGTTTGGGAATTTTATACCTACAGACCAAGTTCTTAAAAAATATGTACACACATATAGCACTTAACAATTATAGTCTAAATTTTACAACCCACTAAATACACTGAAAATATATCATTGGATTTAAAACATACTTAAAGACCTTGCCAAAATATTTAATATTTGTCAAATAAATATTTAATATTGTTGCTAAGAAATTTATATCATTACAATTTAAAGTGAACGTTTATACACCTACCGGCATTCTCTAAAAATTTTAAAATTCTCCAAACATATTCCCTATTGGGCACTTTTTTTAAAACCTTAAATTTGAACCACAACCTGAAACTTAAAATTTTTAAGGATCAATCTTTGAGAAATTACTGAAAATTCTAGGGGGATTTACTGCGGTGAATGTTTGAATTCACTAAATTTATGAAAATCAGACTAGATAGTTAAAAATATACAATTTTAATAACAAATATAAAAAACTTCAGTGAATTACAAAAACTACAAAAACCTTGAAAGGGAATTCATACAAAAAACAATGAGTAACATGAAAGCAGATGACGCCAGCGTCACAGCAGAGTTGCAAGTGCCGAACACATTCTTACACGCTAATTCCAGAGCTGCCCCATTCACTTTCATAACTTCATCCTGCAAAACTTGAGAAGCTGTCTGCCCGCAGACATTTTCCACACTTTGGACGGCACAATTCCGTAGCTCCTTATAATCACTGCAAGGAAAGATTAAAATGTTATCAACATCGAATGTCTTGGTCAAAGAAAGGTTTTAAAACTGGTTCTACAAAATAATTTTTAGAGATAGAGCAAGAAATATTTAAAAGCTTGCCTTTGAAACTTATAAAAGTGGCCTTTAGTATTTTGCTTTTATCAAACTTGAAACAATTAAAAACTTGAAACATTTAGAGTCCGTACATTCAAGAAATATTTTGTAGATTAAGATTTAGGAGGGTAACCTTATGTAGTCGCATGTGCTTGCAGACACGCCACTATAAATCTAAAATCCTACATGTACTATAGGTAAATGGGGAACAACCCCTTGCCATGCTATTTCAGAAACTTCTGGACTGATGCAATTATAAAATATACTTCGGTATTTAATTCTCAATTTGTAGCAAGCTAATCCTCCAGATTAAGATTGAAAAACTAAGAACGTATATTTTAAGTTTCACATTCCCGAATGCTTAATTTAGGTGAGACTATATTTCAATTATCTATGTACTTATGAAATTTGATTTAAACATTTTATTCAATTTTTATACATCACGATTTGATTAATACACATGTCAATGCCACTTGAGAACTACATTTGGCACACATAGGATTTATGGATGATTATAAATTTCAATGTTTAGAAAACTTAAAAACCATTCTAAAATTAAGGTAAAAAATTTAAATATAAAGGAAAAATTAAAAACCTGAGCAATTTATATTCTATACCTGTTTGTTAAAACTTCTCCCCTGTCGTAATCACTGAACATATTTACTCATGTTAAAAAGTGGTTACTTAAGTATAATTAAAAAATAGTGAGAACAGTACAGAACAAACTTTTAATCTTCAATTCCTGCCCAACTTATAGCTCAGTTTGTTTCATAGTAAATAGTGTTTTACATAGTTCTTTAAGATTTTGCAATGCCTTAAAAATTAGGAGTCTAGGCTTAACGAAACCTAGACTCCAAATAAATTCAAATTCGATGACAAGTATTTCGGTTTAGTTTAAGCAGTACAAATTAGAAGATTAAGATAATTTGTGATAGTAACACAGCACAATTGTTTTAAATAAGCCATTGGTTAAAAATATGATTTATTTAAAGTAATATGACTTACATAGTTATCGGAAAGTAAATATGACATTAAAATTTATTAAAACATGCTTAACTAAAAACTTAAGCCTTAATGCATATACCATATACTTAATATGAAAAATTGTATCTAAATAAAATATTGAAAATTTATTTAAAAAGTTAGATATTAGTTAAATAACACTTCAAAAATGACAAGAGTAAAACAACTTAATAGATTAAAAACTACTCTTATCGAAACATTTCAAGATTTACAAATTGAAATTCTGCTTTAACAAGCATTTCACCTAACATACAAAATTTTAAATTTCAAGTAAATACGTCGTTCAGGTATCTTTTAATCGCATGGATGTCATACACTATGTTTCGTTTCCATCAAATCGAAAAAGTTAACTATTTCTAACAAAACAAAATGTTAAATGAATCTAACTCGTTCAGCGAAAAGGAATCTTTAAACACTCATTCGTATTCTTAAAGAGTGTTCTAAAACATTTAAACTATACAAGAACTAAGCAACAGTTTACCGAATCCTTCTAAGTGGAGTAGAAGTGCATTAAAATTTCAGCTCTGGAGCAGATAAACTTATTTTTCTTTTCTACCTTAATTGCAGTCAATTATAGGAAATTAAAGTTTGAGCTTAGAATTTTTAAAACTACTTCACGAACACACTGAAAATACTAAGTTTAAAATAATCATTCTGAAACTCAAATTTACTTTGTCAAAGTAATGTAATACTGCACCGGTTTTCAGTTTGTTTTAGAGAACTTTATTACGGTTTCTTCCAATTGAGGGTAACATTTTCCCCCGAAAGAGATTTACTAGTTCAGATTTCAAAAAAAAAAATATTTTCCAGTTTTTAAGCAAACTTATATTTAAAAAGTAATCTCTCATTTGCTTTAAGATAGAGCAAACGAACAAATTGCGGAAATGACTAGACACATTAAAAGAATTAGATTGAATTTAGAACAATGGTGGAAGAATCTAAAGGGACTGAACTGCAGTAAACTCAGCTCTTAATTCAGTTATAACTTAACCACAAAAATGAGATGAAACAGGAAAACTTTCAGAATATACATAAGTATTCAGACTTAATTTTTAACTACTTTGAAATCTATGAAAGTGCACGTTTTTTTAATAGCACAGTAAAATAAATTTAAACTTAATTTTCAGAAACGTATTGTTACATCAGTACAAATCAAACCAAAAGCAAATCTCAAATCTTCACTTTACAGTAATTTCTCGCACTGTAGCCTTAATTTTAACAATTGTTCGATTCCGAAAATAAAATGCTATGCAAATTTTAAATGTATTTCCTATAAGCAAACTAATGAATTGGTAAACTTTGTCAATTTTCAAGCTTTAGTTAAAGCAAAAACTTATTTAACGTGAATAAAAATTAGGGAAATTTAAAAGCGGGCAGTAAGAGCATAATTGTTTTGAGTACATTGGGATTTTTTAAAGTGAATAGAAATCTGACGTCATTGAATCTGTATCATCGAATCTCCTATCATGAGTCCCAATGCACAAATGCAGATATGTGATTCGAACGCACGTATGAAAATTCACGCAAATAAAGATCTCATTTCCACATACATAGGGTCTTGCGCATAGGTTTTGAGAAATATTGTTTATGGATATTGTGCTGTTTAAAATTTATACACGCTAAGGTGCGAAATATCTAAAGACTTGTCTATTATACGACGAAGGGCTTATACAATCACTGGTGTAGAAGTGATTCAATCTCTAGATCTGTAATTTAGATTTCTTACCAGCATTCCGCTTTCCATTTTGATTCATCATCGCTCAATACAACTGCCGGCTGAAGGGTGCGATTGTAGCATTGTATGAAGCTCATTGAAGCATTCTGAAAGCAATCTTCAAACAGTTTGACATCTGAAATAAAAAACGTAAATTTAAAGACCGAATTTAAACAGTAAAGCACATTTTTATAAGTAACGAACAACTTCAAAAATTACAAAACCTGTCAATGCTCTTTAAACACTTAACATGTAGGCTAAAATAAAACTCAAATTTCATTGCAGTGAGATAAGATTCAAAAACTTGGAAGGCTTATTCACATTTTTAATGAGAATTTTCACACAATAGAATATATTAATCTCTCCTTTTATATCATTAATATTAGGTGTTACAATAATTTCCTCCCCCATTAGTAATTGAATATCAGAGCTTTAGATACTTTTATAACAGATGTGATTTATAAAATCAAAAGGATTTCTAAATAAACACTAATTTAAGTACTAATTAACACTTCGAGATTCATCATTGATACTACTAACGTACACCGTACTACCTTTGCAAAAATAAGTTTACTAGATTCGATTGTCTAGTATTTTATCAAATTGTCCCCGTTGTCGTTATAAGCATTTATGATCCAAATTTTAGCAGTTTTTACTTTAAATTCAAAAGTTGTCATAATCTTCGCTAACTTTGATTAAAACATTATCCTTAACGAAATCAAATAAGACAATAATGGAGAGTTTGAAATTTTACAATTATTACCAAAGGTACACACATAATGTACACATAATTCAGGTAAATACAAGTCTTAAAATAGTAATTTCACATAAACCAATTGTAAAAATCTGATATTTGTATGATTTCTGGCTTTTGCACAAGAAAATGAAAAATTCTAAGTTCGATTTTTGAAAGATTTGTTTCAGAGTAACATTTTTAAACAGCTCTAACTTTAGAACCATTTGACCTAGAAAGCATAAATTTTATAATTGTTTAGTTTTCAAATTATATTTTAAATAACATGTATACGTTACTCTACAAAATTTTAATAAATAATCTATTGAAGTTTCAGTATTTCAAATTACTTTGAAACACTTGTCAAATTTCAAGATAATACCATGGAATAGTTAAGAATATTTTTTTCTAATTTAACACTAATAGAAATCACGTGTTACATAAAAAATGAAATTTTAAGAAAAATTTTGGTAAAACGCAGCACGTTTCTATTTTTACAGCACGATTTGCCTAATGTTCAAATACTTTTCTCTTAATGATATCCTAGAATGCCGCTTTGGAATATGGCACACTCATTGCTAAAAAAGGAGTTTAATGTTCAAAATCGGTTTATTCAAATGTATTAAGTTTTAAAGTTTTGTTAAAAAGATTCAGCCACGTTATATTCTACAAATTGCCATTAAAAATGTAACAAAATTTCATAAAATTTAGTTCCAGATTAATTAGCTCTCAAGTCAAAAAGCCGGCAAAATATTATTTAACAATTTGTTTAACAATTTTTCAGTAAGTGGTCCAAGAATAATTTTTATTCTATCGTACCTTCAAACCTTCCTACTGATCTTTAATTCTTACTTCTTAGCTTTCGTTCCAAAAATATGTAACGTTAAGTTGAACACTTAAAACAGCAGTGGCATCAATACAGAGTTTGTAAGAGATAACCTCTACGGTTTTACTAACTTACAGCTGTATTTAGTCAGATTCATTCTCAGCTATTTTTCCCTTTCAACATCTTACTCAATTGAGTAAGTTGTTAAAGATTCAGCAGAGAAAGTAATGAGATGACCAAAGGACCGTTTAAATAATACGTAAGTGGCTTACGAAGGGAGGGTGTTTGTGATTTGCTTGTTTTTGCTGACAAAGGGTATGAGAAATACAATACGTTAACACCTTAAAAATCACTAAATTTCAATAACTTTTCAAAAACAAAGTTTGAAAACATTTACTTAGGGAAAAATCAAAAATGGAGAAAAGTTTAAGTATGAGAAGAAAAAGTTAAATTTCTTCGAAGAATCAGATTTAAAAATATTTGAGTATACAATGAAAACAAGATTTCTACAAGAATATTCTACTCAATTTATAAAATGAAACAAACTTAGTTCAAATCTTTTACAAGTTACAAATCTACACATCTTTTTATTAAAATATAGTCATAAAACTAGATTACAGTTAAAAAAAACCATTGAGTATAAGCTGCTTCATGCAAGCTTGGAGATTAGGTGGTTTGCTGACAGGAGCGGGAGTCCCTAATTTACCAAACAAGATTACGGAATATTTGAACGGCTAAACAAAAATATGGGACTTACTGCAACTGCTCATACTAAGACGCAGGTCTGATAAGACTTTCAGAAGCATTAAAATAAATATGAAACAATAAAATGGGTAATGAAGGGGCTATAAGCAAAGTCCCATATCAGAAAACGAGAAAACTGCGCTACTTTTGAGATCAAATACAAAAGGTGTGAGATTAATAAATTTAAAATTTTAAAAATCTTAAATATCAGAGTAAAAGTACCCGTAAAAAGGAAAAATAGCGCCATTGAAATAAGTTTAATCTCTAGTTAAAATTATATGCAGCACCATGACTCGAGTGCCTTCAACCAAATTACTAATTGAGTTAGTAAGTTAAACTCCCGTTAATTACAACATATGGAAACTCAAACAAGTAGTGTATATATATAAAATAACAAGCAGAAACGTTAAGAATTTTTGCATTACCGGTGTATTCCAGTGAACAAATCTAGAATTTGATACTGTAAGGTTTCAAAGGATAAATATGGTCCAATAGCTGGACGAGATTATATTGCACCGAACTTAAATGATGTTATGTACTCCCTACACGAAGTAAAATTAAAGTGCTAGAAACTATGTCTATGTAAAAACTTAACAAGAAAACTAAAATTACTAAGACAGCACACTCAAATGAAAAACTTATTTACCTAAATTAGAGGACAATTTTACAGACTGCGTTAAACAGCAGATCAAATTCTGTGTTTCAGACTATCAGTGTTAAACTCCAACGCCTTGTAATTTTCAAGCCAACCCAGAAAACAAATAAACTCCTGGATCAAAAATTGGAGTAAACTAGATTTCGGGGAAAACTTGAACTAACCGGCATTTAGATTACATTGCGGGAAAAACCCACGAAAAACTCCCACGTTTAGACAGATTGCAATGGGATTCTGACCCATAATCCGTCATTTACTAATGATAGTTTCACTTCAACACTGGATTGTGAGAGCCGGTACTTTAACTCGGGTCAACTAGCCACCGATGAGATTCGAACCCGAGACATCACCGGAAAAGCTCTATCCCTGAGCCGCCAAATAGGACAAAGGAAATGTTTTGAACGATTGAGCTCGTTGAATAGAAATAGAGTCTTTAATTAGACAATCTAAAATCAAATTTGAAAACAATCCAGAAAATTTTTGAGGAGAATTTTAATATGTTCTACAAGCCAGTAAAAACCATGACAATGGAAATCAAATTACGATCGTGTGCTGTAAAAGGTCCCAGAACAGAAAATAGATTACAATTCAAACCGTGAACAGGCAATGAAAAATTAAATAGCACGAAAACTAAATCAAAATTTCGAATAGTCATAAATCTAAGTCGAAGATCCTATAAAACTTAGTTCGGAAAAAGAAAAGAAAAAAGTTTAACATTTATTATAAATAAACAGTAAACAGAACTCACTTGTCTTGAATTCTGATTCTGGCCGACAGATGTCTGAAAGGAACACTTTTGTTCTGTTGATCGATTGTTCCAATTCTTCATTCGCGGGAGACACACATTGATCGGCAAAATCAGACAAACATTTGTGTGTGTCATCTCGTATCCTAAACAAAAAGAAACAACCAATGAAATAATGTCTACAGTTTATAAAAAAAAACTTTGCATTGTTCGAAAAATCAATAAACACTTTGATTGTTCACAATATGAAACGCTATATCAGTACAACCATAAGCATCGATTAAACTTCTACAGTTACTATCTCTAGTGTTACCAATAACTAAGCATCTAAAATAATGTACTTAGTAGTTGAAATACAACTGACGTGGACTTATTTTTTTATACTGTCTCTATATTTTAAACTAGTACATTTATCGTCTATTATAGAAAGTCTAATTAAAAGAAACTAAGGTTTAGAAATTTAAAAGAGCTCTTACTCCTTTCTATTGGTAAAATTAATTTATTACTTCACAAACCATTGTGTAACAAACTATTCATTTTGTACTTAACATAGATTATATGCATAAATATTTTTAGATGGCCTTCAAGTTAGACTACATATATATGCACTCACTAATTTTAGAACTGCCCATGAAGTGCGAAGATTTTGGAACATGTGCTTATGAGATATCGAAATAAAACTTAGTTTTTCTATAGCTTACAGTTATTGGGGAAATCTTAATTGATAGTTATGCTGAATAATCGAATTTTTACCAAAACTGAAGTCTGAAATTTGGATAACAAGCTCTTTATAAGAAAATAAAAGTTTCATCGAAGATAGCGGGCTATTGAAAGTCATTTTAAAAAAGTTATCACATGTAAAGAGAATAAAACCAAAAAGTTTGATCCTTACATTTTGTAATTATCTGGGTAATTAGAAATATTTACCCTAATTAACAGAAAGATTGGCATGATAAATATCGCAATCACTCAGTTTAAATCTGAATTAAAATCAATTTAAATACTGAATTCTATACGTAATGACAAGACTGAATTAAAAATATATTTATATATTTAAATATGTATTTTAAAAAAATCATTCTTAAAAAATTTATTAGAGTCAAATTTCATTGATAAGTTTAAGACATATAAGGAATATGGATGCAAATTATTGCATAGGGGCATTGCATTGCAAATTATTGCATTTGCATTCATTAAAGGGAATTAAATAGATTGGATTCTTTTAAAAAAATTAAGTATAAAATATTTTTATACATTATGATTAATACATTGTAAAAGATTTGATAGATTTAAGTCTTATTTCATTTATAATGAACGTTTTTACTAAGAAATTTGAAATTATGCATGCAAAATTATATTTCAAAATTTAACTTACTGAATGGTCATTATTGAATAGCATTCTTACTGAATTGCATTCTTACATAGAGACATTTGACAGGAGGGTAAGAAGGATGACATTGTGATCAAAATGTTTAAAAATAATGATATTTAATCACAGTTCTTAATATTCACCGAGGTATTTGAAAAAGGCTCATATTTTCAGCTACTTAAAATAAACTTATGGTTTACAGGAAAAAAATTGAAACATTTGTTTCATTTTCATTTGTGCTTAGTAGGTCTTATTTCAATTTCATGCAGTTGTGTTGCACGACTAAAAATTTTTAAAAATTAGAAGTAATTTAAAATTTTATGCAAGGGAACTTTCGTTATGCTTTAAAACAAGACTACCAGAAAGAAAAACTAAGTTAAACAAAATTGTAGTCTTACTTATTTCATTAATATTCACAGTGTCATTGAAACAAAAACTAGTAATGAGTGGCTTTCACGAAGCAGTTTTTCCTACCATGTGTCTTTACAAACATTACAAATAAGAAAAATGTGCCTCATTGGTGGAAATTTTAAAGAAATGTGCACGTAAAATTCTAGTGCACTGAAATACGTAGATAAGTACTTTAACAAATAGAAATCTAATTATTAATGATGCACCCTTAGTAGCATCACAAGAAAATTAAGTTTTTCTTCGCAAAATATAGCTTTACATTTTCCAAAACGCCAACTTATCAGGAATAAATAAATTAGTTTTCAGGAACAAAGTGTAAAATACATACGTGCAAGCTGCAGACACTTTTTGTTCCGTCAATTGAATACCATTTGGACTGACAAAAGGCAAAAATTCTGTAAGGCAGCACTTGACACCATCTGGACTGCAGTCGCCCAAAACAGACACTAAAAATGCTGGGGGAAAAAGATTTTTAAATACAGCGCAGTGCTATTTTTCAGCAAGGCTTACAATAGAAACAGAAGATCAAAACAAAATTTCAATAATCAATAAATTTATAAATAAAAATCGTTAAGTCTCTGGGTCTCGCTAGAAGATTATCACCTATGGTTCCATTTTCAAAAAATTTGGAACTGGTCAGAATGACCAATAGATTTGTACAACTAATACTTAAGAGTAACTTAAAATGGCATTTTACACGAATTTATGTACCCCATCTTGTGTCATCCAAATATCAACTACTATTTATCTCCATTTGGTTTTCACGAGAAATAAAATATAGCTTTCTGAAATATAGTATAGAACGAGAAATATAGTAAGGAGAATTAAAATATAGCTTTTCTTCGCCTATTTTGTAAGAACACAAGTTTCAAAGTTTCGTACACAAGAAGTGAACTCTACAAAATTTTAGAAGCTTTACTAGTGCAGAATACCAGGATACATAGAACAGTAATGCCGGCCGGATAACGAAAATTCTGATGAAAAATTCTGCTTCAGACACCTTAAATTAATTTAGAGTCTAAGATTAAAATTTTACTTGTGGATCCATATTAAGATTCAATATATCCAAAACATTTTTAAAATCCTATTTTCATTTAAGATATTTCATAATAAATCCATTATTAGTGAGAAAAACTTTACACCATAAAAATAAATTTTAATGAAAAAATTCTACAATTTGTCAAATATTTTTTAAACTTGAAGAAAGTAGAAATATAATCATTCAAGATTTGACAGGATATATACATTTTATTGGTGCTATTTTTAATGAACTAATTTAAACTTAAAAGTAGCAAAATTATGCTCTTAAATTAAAAAAAAGTAACTGATAGATGTTTTGCATTAATTTCAGCAAAAAATCTGTTGATTCTACGATACTATTAAACAAGTTTTAGATTTATGAAATTTTTTTTACTTAGTTTTAAATTCCTTACGAATTAATTGTTCTATAAAAAGGGAACTAATCTGCCAGTCAAATGCATTAACGCTTCTCTAAGTTTAATAGTTTTACGTTAGCGATATGGCGAAAGGTAACAATATGAGAACAAAACATTGAAAGAAAATTAAGGAAAGCCTCTAAGTAAACTTAAAAGGTCTCCGAAAAGGACCTTCAAAAAATTAAAACAGTAAAAAAAAAAAAAAAAATATGTATGCTTTGTCCTAATCCGACGCTTTTTTCTAAATTAAAATCCACTTCATTTAAATATTCTTCCACTTAATTTAAATGTAAACAGATTAGAAATAAAACAATTTTCGCACTTAGGTTTTGCATTTTTACTTTGTTTCATTCATGTTTATGAAATTAGCAAAAGCATTAAAAATTACTATTTTATACTTCTAATAAACAAGTCTAAAAACTTACGACTGGGTAGTAATTAGAAAAATAGGAATACATTAACTTATTTAATAACCATGACATACATCAAAACAATTCTTAACGTTAGAGCCATATGAATTCTATTTTCCAAATAGCTACGTTTTTGCTGTAAATAACTGGTTCAAATGCAAGTTTTTTTAGCATATAATCTAAGAAAAATTAGATTTAGTTTCTTGGTTAAATAAAATTATACGTGAATAAGATATTTACTAAGACTTTCATTCAAATATTAAAAGGTAGAGCAAGAGTTCAATTTAAAGTTTAAAAAATTACGTGTTCAAATGTAATAAATATTGTTTCTTCAGCTTTATTAATAACTAGTCTACGTACATTTACTAATCACTTGAGATAAATATTAGCACCTAGCACAACCCCAAAGTAAAATTTAAGAATTTGATCCCATTAAAAAATCTTAATTAACGTAGTCCACTATTTGATATCCGCAAGAGAAGTCATACGTCGGTGGATTCAGTGGCCAATCAGATTTGACTCACTTGCAAGCATCCATTTGAGTCTGATCCAAAAATTTATTCAGCGTGATAATAAAACAGCGCTAATAGTTACAACTAAGGCCCGGATTTTGATGACATTTGCAGTTTTTTGCATTTTTGGACATTCTTTGTCCTTTAGGGCATTTTTTGAGATTTATAGGACATTTTCTTTAAATTTTGGGGCATATTTTGCATTTTAAAGCATTTTTTAAATTCTTTGTTAATTTTTTCTAATTTATTATTTTTTATTACACTGGCTGCCAAACAAAGAAGAAAATTTTTAGGATATTAGCAGGTGAAGTAACATCTTTTCAAATTGAAGAATTGTCAGTAAGTGTGACCGTCCTTTTCAAGTACGCACCAATAACATCAGTAGACGTTGAAAGAAGCTTCTCCTGGTATAAAAATTTGCTTTCAGACAAGAGACGCTCGTTTACATTTCAAAATATTAAAAAAAAATTTATAATCCACTGTAATTCTGATATTTAGTAATATTATGAGATTGAAGTTACATTCATTTAAGTTTCTATACAAAATAAAAATGTTTTGGAGTCAATATATTTTCCTTTTTTTTGTTATTTTCGGATATAAAACATATTTGTCAAACTTTAATGAACGTAGAGCAAGTATTGCATTGCTTTATATTTTTTGAAACGACTCATAATAATTTTAAAGAGTAAAACATTGTTTTAGTTCAATATTTTTACTTCTATTTAAGTCATGTCATAAGGCATTTTTAGCGCAATTTTCGCATTTTAAGGGCATTTTTTGCACTTTTTAAGGGCAGTAATTGAGATTTTTTAGGTCATCAAAATCCGGGCTCTAGTTATAACATTAATAGGTCATATACAACTACGTGATTGAGCACAATCCTGTGAGGTCGGCAGTATACTTTAGTTGCTAGTATCCATTTTTAGCATCATTAATTATAGCACAAATTAAAGTAAACGAAAAATTATGAGTTTATAACACATTTTGTAAGAGACTTAGATTAGTACGATGATCTGTCACACGTTTTATAGCTTCAGTTCTTGATTTAGGTTCATTTGAAAGTAGATTATGTTCATGAAAAGAAAAGACCCATTTTTAGACAAAATTGAAACATTTACATTAAGATTTTCCTTTCACGCAAAATTCTATTTTAAGTTTAGGTAAAATTCAAATACCAATACTCAAATACTCTGCCAAAATACCAATACAATAAGCAGTTTTTGAAAAAACGTATACCGAAAGTAAACATTTTAATTTTCAGAACACTGTAAATAAAAAATTTTCATTTGCGTTAAAACTTTAGATATTTTATGTTTATAGCAGTAATTCAAAAACCTAAACCATACAATATATTCAGAAATCTGATCCATCAAATTAAAATTTAAAAATTGTGAAAGTTTATTTGATACTTTGACAGGTAACCTTAATTTTTTTACAGTTCTCGGGAGGATTTAAGAATCCAATTTAAGAATTTTAATTTAGCTTTCTTTTCGAGATAGAACTTAAATTCTGAGATTGAATGCGATTTATTGTAAGGTACCTAATTTAAAGTAGCCACTCGGTGACAAGACATTTTTTAAATTTAGTGCTTTAAACACTCAATTGGTTGACAGATATTAAAAAAATCTGGCGCCACTACAAAAATAACTACTTAATTCCAGCGCCAATTCCCTTTTTAATCAAGACACTTCCAAAGTTCTCAGTCTTTATTTTAAAAAAGGTAAAGAATTAAATTTACGAATTATAAATTTATTTTCTGTACATTTATTAAGTCAAGAATTTCTTATTCTAATCGAAAGTTTAAGAAATTACCTCCATTTCACGTAAATTAACTTAATTTTAACGAGTTTACGCATTCTTTTGCATATCTAATAAGTTATTCCAAGACTCAAAATTTAGAAAAATTACAATTTAGTTTAAAAGTACCCAATATATGCGACACCTTTATAACTGGAGCAGACCAGTCAACCCCGATTTGGGGGTTTAAGACTACAAATTTATACTTCATAGTCTTAATTTTCCCGATGGGAATCTTAAATCGAGCATTTGTATAAACTAGCCTTCGTCGACGACATTTAGATTAAAGTAACCTGCATTTGCGTTACAAAGAGAAAACCACAAAACCTCGCACGATTAGCCTGACGGTACAGAGATTCTTAGCTATGACATGATCCCATCTGCCACGGATGATATTTTATTTGTATTGCGGTCGGTGTAAGCCGAAACAATTCGTAGCCATAGCTAGGATTCGAACCTGGTTCACGCCATTGGAAAACGAACACTATTCCAAGAACCAATTTGCAACTGAAGATAATTTTAAAAAAAAAAATCTAAAAACGGGCTGGTCACTTGAAGACTGAGAAAACAGGTGCAGTCTAGTGGCAGTAGGGAGAGTATGAAATCAAGGAATTTGTGTTTAGTTTAAAGTAAAAAGCGAAATGTCGAACGCCTTATTGTGAATTAACTTTTAAGGTATACAATTTTTCCGCGCAGAATCTTTAATGGTATTATACAGAATTAAACAAACTCTAAGAGTAAGCTACTTAAAAATCATAAATTTAATTTCTAGAGATCCTTTCGACCAATTACTCGAAAATTTTGTTTTCAGCAATTAAAGTAACATCTTTTTTAAAACAATGTAAAAATTGTGTAATAGGTAGTTTTTTTATTTCATAAAATATGAGTAATTTTACTATAATTTCGTTCTAAATTTATTTTTAAAAAGAGCGTTCCAATGTTAGAAACTTTAATTCTTAACATTTAGTTTAGAGAATCTTTAAGAATGAAGGTGTGATGGTGGGGGAAAGTTTAAGGAGTTACGTGTCTAACCCGTTAGTCAAATCATGACTCATCCCTGAAAAGGTTCTGTGAAGGTTTTCGCTCCTGCGCTTTCTTTATGATTGGGGATTAACTTTTTATTTTATTTTATTAGAACTTATTTTTAAGCCGTTCACGAGTATAAAAATCTAAATTAAATATACGATTCTTTACCTAAAATTAAATCTGAATCGAATATGAGGTGTAACACTTCAATTGAAGATCATAAAGCCCGGGGAAAAAATAAAGTAATTATGATTTCAAAAAGTTCCCATTTTGTACCCAATCAGTGCAAATCTTATCAGACCTAATCGTAGAATGTAAGAAAGTTTTAAAATCAAATTTTAAATAAAAAAATTTGAAAGTTTAATTTAAAAAATTTTTGTAAAAATATCAAAAAACGAATAGTTTATGGGCATCCTTCTCAATAGAAACTCAAAATTTAGAATAATTTTAGAGTTTTGTAATCAAGAAATAATTTTTGCATTAAAATTAAGATTCCATCATGCAACTCAAAACACTTAATAGTTCACTTTTGACTTCCGTTTTCATTGAAATACGCAATTTAAATTTTACACAATTAAAAATCATTTTATAAATGAAAAATAAAGCACTCGATTTGGTATTTAGTAGGGATGTACAGGGTACTCCGCAATTACCGTTGAATGAGCGCACAATCCCCGAACTTATTTAAAATTTTATAACTTAAAACTTATGAGTTTCATAAAATGAATTCCTAAAAACTTTTGAATAGATGAATCCTGAGGGCAAAGGAAGGTTACATGGCTGAAAACCTGTATACAATTAGTGAACAATTCCTACGTTAGAATCAAATTTAGTGATTTTTACTAGCATTATTAATTAAAAAGCTGCAGGATCAAAAACTCGAATCTTTAAAATTATTTTTTCTTTTAATTCGCATCGGCATTCGTAGGATAAGATATGTTCTGAACACAGAAAAGTCAGGAATTGCAGAACTACCAATTTAAGTAAGAATTTTTCTTGGTAGCTTGCATTTTGCAATCTGTTATTGGAATGAAGATTTGATTAAACAAATTCCTATTAACACCCATGCTTAAAATTTGGTAAGCACAGAATGAAAATAGGAAGGAAAAAAACACGTATGGTAATCAAATGCAAAATCTTACTTTAACATTACATGCAAAAACTCTAACTTTTACGAAGAAAAAACTTTCCTCAATAAATATATATGTTTAAAATTTAGAACTTGTAAAATTAGAAAAAGTTTGCAATTTATACATATCATTAAAGAATAAATTTTAAAGAACTAAAATTAGTACAGAAATAATGAAAATAAAAAGTTTAAATATTATATCCTGTTTTTTTAAGTTTGAGGTCTAAAAATAAGGCACTTGTACAATTAAAATAACATTAAAAAAAAGGATGACAAATAGTTCTGTAGAATAAGGTGCAATAGTTACTTTTGAAGAAATTCTAAAGACGCATTTCAATACTTTCATAAAGAATTTTTGGAACAAAAAGATAAAAGTTGAGTTATCATAAGTCACAAGTAATTAAACAACTTTAAAACTGGTTTTTAGTAGCCTTGGTGTAACCAATTCTTTTCTCACCATTATCTTCATACATACAAAACTCTATAAAAGCAAACATAAAAATCTTACTTGATAAAACTATCAGCAACTCCATTTTAAATCGAACACTTATCAACACCCCTCACGTTCTTATAAAGCACAAAGAAACGCCCAAGGAACTGTCCATCTATTTGACTGCACGTTCCTCACGCTTTTGAAGGTAAGTTCACGAGAAGAAAGAAGTCATCACCTAGATAGCGGAAAATACGTCACTTATGACGTCACTTCCGTTCTGTCAATCGTTAGAATGAAGGAATGAAGCCTTGCGAAAGTTGGGTAATTCCAAAAAATTGATATTTTGCGAAATGACAACTAGTTTCGTTTTTTTATTAATTCCTATCTGTAAAAAAAGTAAGTAATAATATAGGCCGCAGGGGGCATATTCCAGACAATGAATTTCCCTTCATATTTATTAATTATTCCCTGCGACAGGGATTTCGGGAAAAACTGGTTTTAGTTTTGAAGTGTCTCATCAGCTGACGGAAGTGATTCTTTGCTTTTTTCTTTCTCCTCTTGTTAATTCTTTTTAATACGCGCTTCTAAGTCGTTTGTGATGTTTATGTAATAAAAAACGAGAATTTTTTTAAAATTGAATAATTTTAATATGCCCCAGCAATGCCTTATTTTTATATTTATTTTGAAAGCCGAATTTTATGCTTTCCAGCGGGAAATGAAAATTTAAAAATATTAACTTTTTTATAACTTAGAAACTATTTACCAAATTCTTTCCCATTTTGTATTTTGTCATTCACAATTAGATGGTTTAAAATACCGAAATAAAATCGCACACCTTTCAATTCGTTAAACGTTTCAAAAATTACTAAATAATTACCAAAAAATATTTTTTTACGTGAAATTATCTTGAGATTAACGAGTTTTATGATTGATGCAAAAATTTTCGATCCGTTTTAAAAAGTTTCTTAAATCTAACGAAATACAAGAAAAGTAAAATTAACATTATGTGGTCGAAACTTCTTTACATTCTCTTGACTTAACAGTTGAAATGAAACCATAGTTCCAATATTGCTATTAATCATTTGCGAACGGCCCTACATTTTTATGCCTAAATTAAGCGCTAGCTTGTAATTCGCTGATGGTAACATGTCGTTGTTGTTGTTAATTTCCGTCGCACTAGAGCGGCACAATGGGCTATTGGCGACGGTCTGGGAAACATCCCGGAGGATGATCCGAAGACATGCCATCACAATTTTGATCCTCTGTGGAGGGGGTGGCACCCCCGCTTCGGTAGCACGACGACCTGCGAGCGAAGTCGGGCACTTTACGGTAGCACAGTTTAACGAGGACCAATACCGCACACCCTCGGTCCCTACGCAGACTGATCCAAGTGGTCACCCACTCACATACTGTCCATAGCCGGTGATGCTTGACTTATGTGATCTGCTGGGAACCGTGTCTTAACGATCAGTCCACTGCGGGATGATGGTAATAGGAAATCGTTAAATGACGACTTACGAACTTGTATCCTACAGTGTTGTAATTCTATATATGTATTAGTCACTCGATTACGTGAAAAACAAAAGTAAGTTTCTTCAGATTCTGATTTCCTATTATGTCAGGTTCAAATGTGAAGGATTCGTATTTAATTACTTAAAAGAACACTATAAAACCATTATCAATTCGTTGTTCAGCGAAATAATTGCATCAAAACAAACATTAAGAAATGGGGCATATTCAATTTGCTGTACTATCCTTTACCAACAACTGATAGTCATTGGTGGTAGATGGCTCGATTTTTTCAGTAATCTGTTGTACAGTCGCTTTTCTGATATTCTGAATCATGTGCTGTTTATCTTTCGAACTGATGTAGAACAAATCGTTTTTATGGCTTTTTAAATTGCACATACAGATTCTCTCAAGGAATACAGCTTTCGCCTTCCAATGAGCTGACCCAGGTTATCCAACGCCATCACAAAGATACCGCACCGACCACAGTGCTGACGGGAAAATGTCATCAGTTTATATATCATGGGTTAGAATCCCCTTTTTTACGGAAAAACGGTGGTAGGTTCCATGGTTTTACTCTCCCTGTAACGCAATTACAATGTATCAGAAAGCCCACCAACAAAAAGTTCCGTATGAAAACCCAGTGCTCGATCCAGGAGTTCTCATGTATATTGGGTTGAGCTCAAAATTATAGCAATTTTATAAATCAGACAAAATTGAGCTCACAAGTCCAAAGACTTATTAAAAGGATTGTTTTTTTTCCCTTGATTTAATACGCAAGTACAAAGTTTTGTGTAAATGTATATAAAATTTGTATTGAGGTAGGTAGGTATTTTAATTACGCCACACTAAAGCTGCACTATGGGCTATTCGTGACGGTCTGGGAAACATCCTTGGGGAGGATGCGAAGACATGCCACCACAATTTTGATCCTCTGCAGAAGGGATGGCTCCTCCGCTTTGGTAGCCCGACGACGTGCGCCGAAGTTAAGCCCTTTACGGTAGAACAGTTTAATGAGGATCGATACGTAACACCCTCCGTCCATACGCAGGCTGATCAAAATGGTCACCCACCCGCTTACTGACCGCAGCTAGTGATGCTTGACTTCACTGTTCTACTGGGAACCGAGTTTTTACGATCTACGTAACAAAATTTGTATTGAAATATCTCTGTGAAATACTTCGTTGGATTTTCTTTTCCATCTGGTTTTTCTTCAAACAAGCGCTTTTATGCTACTCACCTAAAAGCTCTGAGTATTTTTTGGAGAACCTGTGAGATACTTTCTGTGAAATTTGTTGTCGAACATTTCACCCATTTAGATGACACTTTAATGTCTGAGATGTAATGTAACGCTCAATTTATACTCCACGCCAAAGAGGCGGCATCGAGGCTTCAATTGCAATTTATACGCTAAATAGATTGTATTTTTAGTAGCGTTTTATCATTGAACTGAAATACGTCAAACCATGGACAAAGTAATCGAATTAATAACCTTTCGCGTCTAACAAGGATCCTTGTGAGCTTTGCTTTTTACATACATGAATGTTTAAACTTTCTAGCCTGATCATGTTACTTGGTAAATATAGATCCTCCTTGGACGAGCGTTATGCCCGACAAACGCTCTGTAACGTGGAGATAACGGGCTCGAATCGCGCCGAATAGATGTATCTTCAAACTGTCCTTCTCAGAATTGCAAAGACTTATAAGCCGTACTTATGTAATTGGGTGCACAAACCTGCTTCTATGTGTACCAATAAATAAATAAATCTCGAGATCTCCCTGGCCAAGTGGTATCACCCGATAACGCAGTGTGAAGCATGGAGGTGGTGGGTTCGAATCCCGCCGTAACCCTGGTCCTCCTCTAAATTGCTCTATCTGTCCTTCTACTAGACAAAGGTTTATAAGCCTAAATTGAACAAACAAGCCTGCAAATATATGTAATTTCAATAAAGCAATAAATAAATAAATCAACCTTGGTAATTATTTAAAAAATGTGGGACTTTCATGAAAGTAAATTTTAATTACTTAATTATTTTTTAATTGATTCTTCTAATAAATCATAAGACACTTTGAATAACATTAACGCTATTGCAACAAGTTCTCGAGTCGCATATTTTATAAAATTGCACACAATTGCACTTCCTTTAAACGGGAAGAAAAAGAAACAATTTCGAATATTCCTTACAATTATTGTTTTTTACAAAAATGTATAATCTTTATTATTTGTATAACTACTTTGTAAGACTTGTGTCATTCGTTCAAAAAGTACTACGTGAATGTGTGAGGGGAAATAAAAAGCTCGATTGCTATTCCATCAATCACAATTAATGTCTCTTGAGGTTTCAGTTTATTAAAACAACATGCTTTTTTATTATAATTACGAAAAAACAAGCAATGCTTTCTTTTTATATTTAAAATCGGAATTAAAAACAGAAAAATATTCAAATTCTCTTTTCACGCATCAGTCGTTTCGCCACGGATAAATGATGCTTCCTCTTTTGCGAATAAATTATATAATACTTTGAGTAATATTAACGCTAACGCAACAAGTCCTTTTGTCACACATTTCATTTGAAAAAAAAATTACATAATTACACCTGTTTTGTTTTTTTTTTTTCCTATCTTTTGTTTAAAAAAAAAAGTTATGGAATTTTTGAGAATTTCTTGATAGAGCATAAATTTGTTTTAAAACTAACACAAATGAAATAAACTCTTATTTTTTTTCGATTTCCCTCAAAAATTAAATAATTAGTCCATTATATTTACAAAGCTTTACTTTTTATAGATAGTAAATAAACTTTAAAAACATTGTATTGATAACAATTGTTTTCTTGTGAGTGTTATCGCGTTTGTGCGTTTCTTTATCTGCAGTAGTAAAAAATATAAACTTTAATCAGGCTGTCTCTGGCTAGAAGAACTCACTATTCTTATCTAACCTTCGTTTGAGTAGAGAGTTTAGTTAAAATAATTGAAAATAATTATTATAAATAAATGTCAGGTTTTCCAGTTTTAAGTACTATGTTGTTGTTGTTGTCGTAGGTCATTAAGGCAAGGAGTGCAATTGCTCTTGTTTTCCAGTGGCGCCATCTATAGTCAAAAATTTGACTTCCCCTACACCCGTTAATAGATCCGACAGATTTAACGCGCACCAGTCACTATTTACTATACTTCGTCCTGCTGGATTAGAACTCCTGGTCTCACGAATGAAGTCCAGCGCCCTGCAAACCAGGCTATCCCGGCCCCTACGTACTAAATAAGAATATAAAATACTTTCATATTATTCGGCTTTATATTGGTTTTATTTATAGTAAACTGTCTTTAGTTTACTTTTTTTTATATTAAAAAAAGTAAACTAGAAAGTAAAAGTTAAGAAAAAGTAGGAAAAAAGTTAAAGTAAACTACATAGTATGCTACTATGTAATTTAGTTGATGAGAAAAATAATTTTTTAAGCATCAAGAGGGATTTAGTTGTAGAGAAAATTGAACTTAGATTCGCATTCTGTTTCTGTAGAAGTTTGCCTTTATTTGCGCATTATTGGATTAAGGTTTGTAATTTTTTCTTCATGAAATGTTATCTTAATTATTTTTCAATTAACAATTAATAGTACTAACTTTTTCAATTAATAGTTCCACAAAGTTTAAACATTTTAAAAGACTCTAAAAATAATAAAATTCTCTGCGAATCCTTTATAAATGACTAGTGAACAATTTTCTTTTATCTAGGT